TATTAGTTGAGGAAGCAGTTAGTACAGATAGTAGTTAAGTAAGAGGATATTGAGGTTCTGTAGTTGGCAATTGGGATATAGAAATTAAAATGTAGTAAAAATGAGGTCTGATTGTTTAAAGAGAGATGATGTTGAGATAAAATTAAAAAAAGCAGATAGTATAGATTATTTGGCAAGTGTTTTGAGAGTTTTGGATAATAGAGTAGAGTGGGTTTGAGAAGGTGTGGTTTGTTGTTGGGGTTAGGGTTGAGGTTGTTTAGAGAAGGTTGCAGGAGTGTTGGAGAGTAGTATAAAAGGTTGAAGAGTACTTTGATTAATAAGGCATGCTTTATAATAATTTTTATAAAAATAGTGTTAGTTTTGTTAACAAGAGAATTTGCATTTAACTTTTTGTTAGCATTTTTTGCAATCATGTATTTCAAGTTGTCTAGCATTAGTTTGGCTACAAGTTGGAGATAGAGAAATAAATTCAGTTGTTTTATTAAGTCTTTTGGTAAGAGTTTTAATAGGAGAAGTTACTTCAGAAAGATTTTTGCCATTGGATATATAGATATCATTGTTGTTGGAGATAAAGTGGGTGTGATATTTTTTGTAAATGCAAGAAAAGACAAAAGTTGAAGTTAATGCTTTAAAGAAATGAGTTGTTTTATCAATACTATAAAGATGAATAAAGTAGTTGGTGTGTTTAACATTAAATAGAATAGATTTGGCATATTAGAATTGTTTTCATGAATCCAAACTCCAAAAAGGTTTAGAAATTGGTTATAGAAAGTATCTAGATTAATAGTATCAGCTATTGTATAAATAAAGGTAGACATTTTTTAGGTATTAGGGTTGACTAAAAGGATAGTTAATATATATTAAATAAGTTCTGTAAAGAGTATATAGCTAAGATATGCCAAATAATTAGTGAGTATACAGATAGCTGTGAAGTGTAATAGATAATAACAAAGTGTGACAAATAATCATAGAGTATGACAAATAATCACAAGATATGACAAATAATTGCAAAGTATAACAAATAATTACATAATGTGAAAAGTAATTACAGATTAGATTGCCATATATTGCATAACTGTAATTTAATAGATGTAAAATATAATACTTGTATGAATTAAATATTTACTATTTTGTAAATATTAAAATTTTGTACTATATTAATAAATAATTAAAATAAGATTAGTGTAATTAATAGAGAACTACTAATTTTAAGTAAATAAAAATATATGTGTATAGTTTAAAAATAGGTTGTATAGTAAGAAAAATGTTTATGGGGTTGGAGTAGGGGCAAAATAAAGAAAAAAAAAAAGAAAAAAAAACTTAAAAGAAGTTTGGAGGTTTTTTAAATATAATTTTGTCAATTTTGGATTTATAAGCTTAAACTATAGCTTGTTATAATAGAGGTAGTAAGCTTTTTAATTTTTTTAGACTTGAGAAGTAGGTTTATATAGCAGTTTTAAATTTATTTACAAGGTTTGAAAAAAAAGCTGAAAGGCCATTTTTTGATAAGTTTAGAAGATTTAAGACTAACTAAAGTATTATATGTATTTTCATATAGAGAACAAGTTTATTTAATAGTATAACTAAGGTTAATTTAGCAAAAAAAAGTTATAAGCAGTTTTTAGTTAATTAGTTTAGAGAAAATTTGTATACAAGTAATAGACAGAAAGAGTTTTTAGCTTTTTTCAAAAAAAATATATTCTTTAAAATATAAAAATTATATTATAATTATATTGTTTTTATTTTTTTATTTTTTTTTTTTAAACTTAAACAGTTTTGCCAAAAACTTTATTAAACTTGATTATAACTAGAGTTACAATATTAATTACTTAATCTCTAAGTTTGATATCATCTGATATATTTGAAAATATTATTATATATGATCTGCTACACTAGACTATAAAAACTATAAAACTAAAAACTTTGTTAGAAAGTCTAAGTTTCTTTTTTTGTCTAAATCTTAATAGTATAGCTATTTATATCTATCAAAAAAAGTAAAAAAAAAACAAGAATATATATAAAAAAAAGAAAAAAAAAATTAAATAAAAAAAAAACAATAAATAAGAAAAACTATATAATCTAAATAATAAATCTAATATTTAAAAAAAAACAAAATAAAAAAAGCAAAAAAAAAGTTAAACAATCTGACAAAAGAAAAGAAAAAACATAAAAAAAAAAGTTAATTATTTAGATCTTTGGCACTTTATTAGTTTTAACAGGTTTACTAATCAGGTAAACTAATAATATATTATAGTAGTATTATGAGAGTACAACTAGTTACATATATAATTTTTAGTTATCTAATTTAAATAGTCTGCCCTAAGGTTCTATACTAGCCACTATACCTATAATTTAATTAGAAAGCTATCTATTTAAACTCTCCGGCTTCAAACCCTGCACTATATTCTTTCTAATATTCTTTTTAAAATAATTTGCTATTAAAGACCCTGAAACTTTAGCCTCTAGTTAGCCTAGTTTTTCTAGAAGAGTATTTATTCTTGTAGTAAATCTAACATAATAGTATATGTTTCACATATATATTTATTTGCATATTTAGTAACTTTCTACTAATTAGTACCTGTTGTGCTGCTACTATTTGGTTTATATTTTTTTAGATACTGCTATAATCTAATTCATATCTTAGGCTACAATCTTCCTAATTAGGTTTCTATTATTTATTTTTTACTCTTGCAAGATTCACAATAACCTTGGTATCTATGTTTTAACTTTTTTTTCCTGGATTCTTTACTAATCTCTCTCTTACTTCTAGCTAGCAACTCATAAGGGTTGGTCTGCCAGACTTTAAGTGCTTTATAGTCTTTCTCTCCTTAGTATATACTTCCAGAGCACAAGTTCTTTTTTTCTAGTAGCAAGCTAGCAGTTTAGCTAGTATATTCTCTTATTTAAAAATCTAGTTGTTCAGTTCTCTAATATCAATTTCTAGTTTTGAATTTAGCCTTTCTATAGTACTATCAAAGATTACTACTACTCCCAACTTGGAACTTGCCAAACAGGTTTTTGGTAAATCTAGTTTCTAGATTTATTGTACCAAAGCTCCTATTTGAGATTGTGTAATTAAGATTAAAATTTCTAGATCTAATTATTTATTGACATTAATTGTATCACAAGCCTAATTTTTAAAATTGTTGTCTATGAGATTTGAACTCTAGACCTGCTATTTGGAGGTGTGACAATTCCACTACTTCACTAAGTTGCTATACCTAATACCTGTACATTTCTACTGTAAAGTATTATCTTAATATATAAATTTCTTTCTGATTATATAATTACTTTCAGATATTTTTTTAATTGAGAGCCTAAATCCATAAAGTAGCACTATATTTGTTGGTAAACAAGATATATAGTTGCAATCTACTAGGTCATCTAAATTTATAAAAAGTAAACAATATTGATCTTTTAACAGGAATAAACTATTTTGTCTACTTTTTATAAAAATTTTGTAGAATAAACAAGTAGGTGATAGTGTAGAAAATAACTCTTATACTTTTTTTTAAAGAATATATTTTTTTTCTAAAAGTAGTAGAACATATAGAGCCAAGTAAACTGCTAATTTTCTTGTCAGTAGGTAATAAACTCTGAACTTGTTAACAAGTACCATATAAGAACTACTTTTAAATAACAAATACCATCCTTATGGTGAATGATAAGCTCTAAGCCTATTAGCAAATAGTGTATGAGAACTATCTATAAATAACAGATACTAGTTTGTAGTTTTTATTAGTCTTATACTTCTCTTTTTTACTATAGTTTACTGTTTTTTAGAAAAAAGTTTGTTGTTTTTTTTGATACAAGGAATTGTTAAAAAGAATTAATATATATTGTTTTATTTACTAAATTTTAACTATTATTATTCTAAAATACAATACAAAAGAATATATCTTATTAGCCTCATACTCACAGGTAGCAAATGATTTGAGATAAAAGCTGCCAAAGAAGTCACGACTGATAATTCATTACAATAGCAAGTAAGTCTTGTAACAAAATTTTTAACAATAGAAATCATGACTATTAATTCTAATGCTAACTAACAGTGATATTGCTATAGGCTGTGTGGTGAATCATAACAGAAATCATGACCGCAATTTCAATACAAACTGATTCTGTAATAGCAAATAAATTTTACGACTGTTGATTCAAATATAAACTAAACTAAACTACATATTGCGTGACCATAATAGCTCATAAGTTTCATACCAATTTTTTTTACAGTAATTACTGATAGAATTTATGACTACATTTTTCAACTAAACTTTAAGCATATACCGACTGTCACTGCAATAGTCAGTAAGTTTTACAACAAAATTTTTACGCCAAACATGATAGCAATCTCATTATAAAACTAATGCAATCTTAACTGTATAATTTGCACCATGATTGTCATCGGTAAATAATAGTATTGTAAAATTCACAAATGTAATTCCACACAAAATGTAGTTTGAATTTTTTGTAACAATTTTTTACAATAATTTATAATAGAAACTGTAATTTAATTTCAATACATACAGTATGTCACCGAATTATTAATACAAACTAACTTAACCACATACGTGTCATCCTGATAGCTCAAGTTTTGTAATATAATTTTTACAGTAAATCAAGTAGAAATTATGACAGGTTCAATAAAATCGGGCTCATAGTTAGCTATTACAGTAAAGTTATTGCTGATGATATTGTGAAATTATAAGAATTAAAAAAATAATGCCCCTTTAAATAATGGGTCTTAAAATTCATCTAAGAATGCCCAAACTTTGTTACTTTTGATTAATAAGCTTGAGTAAAATAATTCTTTAGCAAACATGTGAAAAAAATTTAATTTACACGAATACATCTACCGTAATAAGTAGTAACAACTAAAATAAACTTACACTAATTTGCTATAGAACTACCTACCCTAAATTCGATCTTAATATTTTGATGTACAAAAATTAATTATATTCGCATAGCTCACTGCATTTACCCGACGCATTTCTTGTCTATAAATGGAACGGTTTAATGGTAATCAAGATCAGCAATTAGGCAACGGCATGAAAATAAATTATAGAATCAGTATCGCACTTTAAAAGTTAGACTAACAAATTTATGCGACACAAAATACAGGAGCAAGTGTTACATCGGATGTGAAGATGTAACATGCGAAGTTTCTATATGCATTCACGCCTTTTTTTTACCATATACATTTATCCAATAAGATGCAAGATTTTGCGTTCGAACCCCAATTAATTTGCATACACTACGTAAAATTTTCAATATCACCCCGTTCCTGGTATAGTCTAACGCAGTAATTTATGTAGTGTCTAATTTGCATAACCCAGATAATTATATATCTGGAGATAATATTGTAATATAATAAAGTTAACAACTTTGGACTTAGTAAAACAATCTTATCAATATACTAGGTGGTCGTCGTTTTAATAGTGAAGGCGACGGAGTACCCGAACGAACACCAGTTCGGTCATATAGCTAAGCAGGTGAAATTATTTAGAGAGAGCCTCCAAATTCATGCAAACCAGAAATCACTGTGACACTGCACTGTCATTACAGAATCCAATAATTGTTGTGGATCATAATGGAATCGAATTGAAACGATATGCGAGTTCCACCTAAATTGTTTAATATAAACCTGATCTAAAGCTAACCTCTAACCATAACCAATAACTCAAAAAATGCGTCTCAAAAAAATTTATTTTCCGGCTTGTCAATTCTTTTATATTATAATATTTAATTTTAATTTAATCCGTCATAAAATTTGTCGACTATCGCTAATTAGATCAATTTTCTGATCTAGTAGTTCCAACTAATTTACCGACGACGTCAAAGTTAGACTGCATTAGGTTAGATTAGATTAGTTTCGGTCAATTTTTGTCGCGATTTTGTTTTTATCAAATATAATTTTAGATAAAATTAAGAAGCCTTTATTATAAACGTAGCGGTGATTTGACGGATGAACGGATTTAAACTTAATGGAAAATATTTATATTGTCGATCTATTGTTCCTCGTATTCCGAATGGATGCTTCTTTTATTTGAGTTCTTTACCACAGATTTGTTGGGAAGCGCGAAGTTTAGAAACATTAATGCCTCTAATACAAATACATAATTGTGAAAATTAGCGAACTAGCTTGTGGAAAAAATTATTATAAATACCGGTGTTAATTCTCAAAACAAAAAAAAAAATCAAATAAGATCAAAACAATAACCCAAATTCTTAATCTTAATTTGACCCTAATCTAACCCTAACTCCAACTCTAATCCTAATTCAATTAAATCACCTGACGAAAATGAGCCGCTCTATTCATCTTTTTATCTTTGGTTTCTTGATTCTCTTGAGCTTATTCATTTCTGGCACCTTTGCTGCCTGCAATATAAGAATAAAATCCGGCTGTGACTGTGACCCTGAAAACATTAAAAACTGTGATCCCAGACAAGTATCTGTTGGAGGTTCTGTCTGTGGTCGAGCAATTAATTGCGACCGTGTAATAGATTTATTTCAAGTTGATGTTAATGGAGATTTTTGTCATCTTAACGTTTGCAATAGAGACTGTGTATGCCAAGATGAATGTCATTGTGGTACTGGTCAGTGACCCAAATTACTGGTCACTTTCAAAATGACTGAATGACTTAGCCATTTGCCGTCACTGCGGCGTTTGTATTGGCTTTTTCTTAATTTATAAATATTTTGAAAGACATTTAAATAATCTAGTAACTAAGTAAAATTTCATTAAAAATATTATTCTTATTGTTGTGTGCAATATACGTTTTTTTTCTGTGATATTTAGGTTACAAAAAATTATTATTCTTATTGTTGTGTGCAATATACGTTTTTTTTCTGTGATATTTAGGTTACAAAAAATTATTGTTGATGTTTTGTTTTTTTTTTAAAAAGGATACACTTTTTAATTTTATTCAAAACTAGTTCGTGCTTTCTTTTATCATTATATTTAACTATTGGAATAAATTTGATTTTTGAAATAGAAGATAAATTTTTTTATAATGTTACAATGTTTGCTGCACGTGACATTTCTCTAAATTGTGAAAGTTTTATTAAAACCTTCACGAGATCAGAAATGTGTATTAATTATACATACATAACGATCTATCCAGTGCTATAACCAGTAATATGATTTTGAATATCAGTTTTGCGGGTTTATTTTTAGTATATAACAAGAAATTTACAAATTTAATGGGAATTTTAGTTTCATCTTTTTCTCAGCATATACTTTGCGGAAACCTTTGATTTTGCTAAATATTTTTACTATATAATAAAAATATAATTATAACATAATTAAAATATAATTTACTCTGTTAACTTACTAGTAACAATCTTTTTATCATATTATTAAGCGTTAAGATATTAGTAATATTATTTAGTTATTTTAAATAGATTGCTATTATATTATTAAAATATTATATCTATTAGATGTTATTAGATAATTAAAAGATAATATGGGATCTTTGCTATTAAAATGACCTTCCGAGGCTATGTTAATTTTGTGAATAAAAATTAAATTTGCCAGCCATCTAGTAATTCAATTTGAATAAACTTTTTTTATTTTATTTTGTAAATCACAATAGAATCTACAAAGTAAAAAAAATTTCATTCAAATTGGATAACTAGATAGCTGGCAAATTTAATTTTTATTCACAAAATCAAAATAGCCTCGGAGGGTCATTTTAATAGCAAAGATCCCATATTAGATTATATTCATATTACAGTTATATATATTATAAATATAATATTAATCACGTTAATAGAGACATAACAGAAATATAAAATGATTTTTAAAATATTATATTAATATTTTTAATATATATTTGTTATATAATAACTTTAATTATATCGTAGTTATATAATAGTTATATAATAGTTATATGGCAAGCATATTTAGCAAAATTTAAAGTTTCTGCTAAGTATATATTGTAGTGTTGTCTCCGGAAAACTGCGACTCGGTCGCTCCACAACCAAAACCTCGCGTAACCAACGGCTGGTAACCTTTCGAAAGAGGTGTGTTAGATTTGGCTGGTGGACGATTAAGGCTTTTGGTTACTCGGGGTCAGCGACGACAAGTTGGGTAAGTCACGTGATCAAGAACTTGGTCAAACGACGATTTTTATGAAGTTTATAGAGTTTCTGTAGGGTTTAGTGTTACGGTGATATTGGAAATAGAATATAGTGTATGGAATTATTTTATTTAATAAAGCAAACGAAGCATGATCCCTTCGTGGGCCATCTTGGCCATTATTTATATTACTCAATTTCGTCTCTTACAAATGCAATTTCAATTTAATATTGAATAAGCTATATAAAATCGTTTATGTTTACTTTCCTTAACATTTTAAGGATATTTAGTTTGTACAGATATCCCTTCATTATTTTCTATCTACCCCTACGTATCCGAAATACCCTTTTCGACCATAAATGTAAGTATTTGCACTTCTTGCATTTCGTGCATTTTTCACGTGATCGATCACGGTTTTCGGGTCTCACAGTAAATATCGTGAATTTGTGGGATTGTCATAAGTACAAATCTTTGGGAATACGCGCTGCTATATACACATGTTACTTTTAGGAGCATATGCCAATTGCATCATGTACGTAGGTACTTTAGAATTTGTGACAATCTTGTACCTGTAAAGTTGTATGTAACTGCATCAAATTGTCCATTTTACTAATGAATCGTCAGATCCAGGCCAAAAAATGGGCAGAGTTATAATTATGCAGCTAATAACCAAAAATAGAAATAAATTTCTCGCTAAAATTATGAAAAGTTATCCAAAAAAAGGAAAATCTACATTATTTAAAACTTTTCCGGGTCCTATCTACCCTTTTTTTCATAAATCGGGGATGGCTAAAGCCTAGTGAACCTGGCACACATAAAATCAAATGGCATGCCATGTGTCATTGGGGTGTCACACGGACTAATTAATCAAAACTATGTCGGCTATATTGATTATTTCATTATAAGAGTAGAATAATTTACATATGAGTTGCATTCATATATATTAGGGTGTATGCATTATATATACTTGAATGCTTTACTTACTGCATAAAATTCTATGAACTCAATATGTAAAACTAAAGAAGTGACTCAAGAATCTAAATATCATGCATTAGTAATTCAATATTCTAGCACATACCGTAGCAAATATTGTATATATAATGAATGAATTATACAACTAAATGATTATTTATTGTTGCCATTATATTTATATTATTTTACATTGCTATTACTCTTTATGGTTGTATTACATTTCTTTTTCATTACCTCATCAATCACATACATTGTCATTATTATCAATCATCAAGATCAAATTAAACTACTAATTAATTTCTGTTATTTATATATATATACAAAGCTAATTATACTCATTCTCTTATATAATAGTTCTTATAAATATCTATTGGAGCTCAATCGCCCAGTAATTCTAAACACACTCTAATCAATGGTAATACTAGGCAGCTTCTATATAAACACTATATATGCGTTCTTGATCATAGAATAATTTGGTCTAGTAAGATGTTCAACACAATATCATGGGTTTTATTTCTATGTACTATACATTTTTCTATTAACATAATTTCTTTCACCCTCCAGAATATAAAACTCAAGGTTTTCTATTTATACACGATAGAATGGAATGGATTTATTAAATAAATGTTGGCTATATGACATGGATAAGATATTTAACAATTAAAAATAAAAAAGTATTTTATAAACAAGCAAACTACTAATGCATTTGTACAAACACAGATCGAAACCAGTTTTATGTATGTGCTTTGAAACATTGTTCAATCAGGTTTTAAAGCATGAACTAACCAGTTTAAGCAGAATAATATCCTATTTTAATAATAAGATGTTTTATTCAAACCATTTTTGTGTTCCTTTGCAGTATTTATAACATTTAGCAAATTTGTATATGATCATAAAGTAGATCCATCTTAGCAGATTGTTTCTATTTATTTAAATATTTTTTTAAACACATTACGTATAATTAAATAGGCTTGAACTTGTATAATATAGAATGTGGTAAGAAAAGTCCTAAACTTAATGATATTCCTAATACAGTATAAACCAATTATATATACTAAATTGCTCAAAAAGCTTAAAATTTGTCGATAACAAATTTGTAACAAAAATAGTTTGTAAAGCCATTTTCAAACTTTATCTTATAAATGAAACATGTTGAAAATAAGGTTATAGTAAATATTAATGTTTGTTTAAACCAAGAGCTAGATTTTTACTTGTGAAATACAATACGTTATCCAGATATTATTATACGTATTTAGCCAATTATGCAAAAGTCAATTTTAGCATTCTAAAATTGGAAGTTCGTGTAATATCTATCTATCAGGAAAAGTATGTAAATCGATTTTTTTTCATCGCATCAGGAACAGTACCGACGATCCATCAGGAACGGTATTTTTGCCATTTTATTAATATATTTATAGAATAAAAATATTTTTTGGAAAGATAAAACTTACAAGCAAACTATTATTATAAAATCTCAAAATCTGATTGGTTGGCTCGTTAGTTCATTTCCACCTTTTGTTGCGGGGCACATATATTAAATAATTGTAAAAGGATTTTAATAAAAAATTTATGATTAGTAAAAAAACTTTAAATTATTTTTCAACGGACATTGTTTAATGCCCCATTACCTTAATGTAACAGGGGTTTGGTCAATCGAGCTCGTCATCTGACATCTTACACCTGAAGGATGGGTTACTACGTATTATGCGATTTGAAAGAGCATAATACCAACCAAATCGAACAGCATTATAACTACTTTTTCGAGAAAATGGTTTTCGAAACTTTATTTATTGTACATTGTAAGAATGAGCAATACATATTTATAAGACCTGCAATAAAATAAGCTAAGGTTGATCTTGCCTAACATGGTATTTTGGGAGTACAACAAGTCATAATTCAAAAAATCGACACGTGGGTGACTTAAAGTAACTAGAAGACTTGATGATCAATTCTAGAATGATTCGAACACTACTTTAGTAAACATAGGATTTTCATGAAGGCGAAATTCAGATACGTATCAAGGATGTATGGAATTTAACAAATGAAGATGAGATTTACAATATATGCATTTTCTTTTTACACTTTTATTCATGTAAAAGAATACCTTCAGTTTAACGCAATGTGATACACCAGTGCCTGTCTCATGCCATCACATCAGCCTTACCAATAATAATTCTTGTCAATAATAGACGTGTTTAAATTGACAACTAGAATAATAAAGCAACAAATTTAACATAAATATGAATAATCAGAATAATCAGAATAAAATTTAATAACTACAGTTAACTATTTATATACATAAAATAACTATATATTTCAAATATTAAAAACGTAAAAAAAAGGGTGGCGAGCGTCACAAAAATGTAGATAAAACCCTTGTGTTTTATATGGAAATTCGATTTTTTTAATACTTTCAAAATCACGAGAATTCTGAGCAGAAATTCGTAAATTTTCTATTTCAAGTTTTTGAGGTGATTTATCATTAGAATTCTATAAAAATAAAGATTAGTTGTAAATATAGCTCTTATTTAAGGGATATTATTTATAAAAAT